GCCACTGCACTCCAGTCTGGGTGACAGAGTGAGACTCCAACTCAAAAAAAAAATTAAATTCCAAAATTAAAAACTTCTGCTCATCAAAACACAGTGGTAGAAAACCGGAATTGTCAAGGAATGCAATGGAAACAAATATGTGCAAAATATAAATTGTAAAGGACCGGTGTCCTATCGCTCAATTAAAAAAATGCACAGACACTGCACAAAGGATGATCTAGCAGTAGTCAAATAGCACATGAAGTCATGTTTATCATCATTAGTCATCAGCAAAATGCAAATTAAAAGCACAATGAAATATCACCACACGCCCACTAGAATGTCTAAAATTAAAAAGACGAAAACAAAAATGTTGTGAGGATACAGAGCTACCAAATTCTCTTACACTGCTGCTGGGAATGGAAATGGCACAGCCAACATGGAAAAAGGTCTGGATGGTTCTTATAAGCTTCATCATACACCTGTCCTTTCGCCCCCTAGGTTGAGATGTTGACCCAAGAGACGGAGAAACATACAGTGGGGCTTCTGAACAGACAAACAAACTATAGCAGACTGGCAAAGTAGACTGCATGTCAGCAATTACACCCAACTGACACACACAACGCTGATGACGGCCAACAACAACACACAAGAGCGAAAACGGCCCGACTCTGTTCGTCTGAGGTTTGGCGACAGGCAGAACCGGTCTACAGTCCGTGTGACCAGGACAGCAGCGGACTCTTGCGCAGAGTCGGGGGAGGAACACCGGGAAGGGACCAAAGGAATCTTCCAGGGTGGCGTGGGCAACGTTCCCCATCTTGAAACGGGTATGTATGATACGCATGCACCCATCTATGAAACCGCACAATTAAGATGCGAGATGTGCCCGGACTCGGTGGCTCAGCCCGTCATCCCAGCACTTTGGGAGGCCGAGGCGAGTGGATTGCCTGAGCCTGCAGGTTCGAGACCAGCCCAGGCAACCAGGCGAGACCTCATCTCTACAATGAATCAAAAATTAGCTGGGCATGGTAGTTCTGGCTAGTTGAAAGGCTGAGGCGGAAGGATCGCCGGAGCCCAGCAGGTTGATGCTGGAGTGGCTGTGACTGTGCCACGGCACTCCAGCCTGGGTGATGGAGTTAGATGCCAACTCAAAAAAAAAAAGGATGTGAGATGTGCACCTTTCTACGTAAATGAAATCTACCTGAAAATAAACAAACAAAAAGCATTATAAAAGAGGACAATCAGATTGGGGGATGGGTGGAGATAAATAAGAATGGACTGCGTGAGGTGGCTCATGTCTGTAATTCCGGCACTTGGGGGGACGGCCAAGGCAGGAGGATGGCTTGAATCCAGGAATTCAAGACCAGCCTGGGCAACAAAGTGAGACCTCGTCTCTATGAAATATATGTTTAGGGGTAACCCCTTTGGATCCCCTCCCACTGTGGAAGTGGGAGCGTTTCTGTCCTCTTAATAAATACTGCTTTCTAAAAAAGAAAAAGAGAAAAGAAATATATGTTTAAAAATTAGGTGGGCATGATGGTTTACACCTACAGACCCAAGCTATTCAGGAGGCTAAGGTGGAAGATCTCCTGAGCCCAGGAGGTCAAAGCTGCAGTGAGCCATGATTGTGCTGCTGCACTCCAGCCTGGGTAAGAGTAAAACTTTGATTCAAAAAAAAAAAAAGAGAAGAAAAGAAAAGAATGGCAGAAAATGTCAGGCATAGCGGTGTATGCCTATAGTTCCAGTTACGCAGGAGGATGGTTTGAGTTCTGAACTTTGAGGCTGCAGCGAGCGATGAACCTGCCACTGCACTCCAGCAGCCTGGGCAAAAGAGAAAGACCCTCCTTAAAAAGTTAAAAGTACATTTTTAAAAACTTCTTAAAGAATGGCAGAACAATATTGAAGCTGGGTGACAAATGGTTAGAAGCAGATGATCTTGGTTTTTGTTTAACTTTCCATCATCAGTTGTTTTTTTGAAAAGTTAACAATAAAACTCTTAGGATCAAAACCAAAAGAAGACAATGGCTTGGTCTGGTGATCACTAGCCTGACTGCAAACGAGGGTCCGTGCAAGGCGCTGGCACTCCTTTCTGTTCCTGCGTCCTCATCCCAGTCTTACTATGGGAAGCCACACGGTGGTGGCAAGGGGCTTCCCTCCTGAGTCGGCAGAGAGGGGCTTCAGTCTTGTTCTTCTAAACACTGCTGCTTCTCTGCCTACCAGGAAGCCCCGCAACCCACCTGCCCAGCCGTCATCGGCGTCGGTGTCCAGGTCATCGAGGCCCTTCAAGTTCTCTGCGTTGATGATGGTGGGCCGTGGTGCCCGTTCCACCAGCTGCCGCAGTGGGCGGAGTGGGCGAGTCATTCCCAGCCTGTTTTCTTTTCTGAAGAAAGAGAGAACAGTAAAGATGACGGACTCATGTCCTGTATACAGAGAGAGAAGCAAATCAAATACTTTTCTAAAAATAAGGTCTATATTGCAAGTTTGTGTTTAGTGTAATATCTCCATCATTTCCTTTTAAAATAAATATATTTCAAACCAAAAAAGGCCTGATATGGTGGCTCACATCTGTATTCACAGCATTTTGGAAGGCTAAGGCAGGAGGATCACGTGAGCTCAGGAGTTCGAGACCAGCCTGGGCCATATAGCAAGACCTCGTCTCTCCAAAACAATCAAAAAATTGCAGGGTGTAGTGCCACACGCCTGCAGACCCAGCTATTTGGGAGGCTGAGGTAGAAGAATTGCCTGAGTCCAGGAGGTCAAGGCTGTGGTGAGCCATGATTGTGCTACTGCACTCCAGCCTGGGCAACAGAGTAAGACGCTGACAAAAGAGAAAGGAAGGAAGGAAGGAAGGAAGGAAAGAAGGAAGAAGGGGGGGAGAAAGAAGGATGGCACAGATAGACAGGCAGGCAGACAGATAAAATGAACTTAAAAATCCTGCCTTCACGTCCCCTCCAGCTCCCAGCCCCCTCCCCCACCCCCACCCCCAGCCCCTGTTGTGCTGAGCTGGTTTTCCAGTTCTCCATGGTCTCAAGAAGACAGAACGCCTTCACACATCAGCCTTGTTATCCTAGCCCGCATGACCATCAGGAGTCATTGCTACAGGTGACTATGACGCAATGGCCTTACCCATCTTGGTCATTCATCTGGAACGGTCTAAAAGGAACACGGGGCTCAAGGCGGAGCTGAGGAACGGGGAAAGATCCTCTTTCCACTGTACCCTGGTTCTCTGATGACTGTGGTGAACACATCTGAAACAGAACATCAAGATGAACAGGATTTTCTGGTACTGGCCCTAATTCCAATTTCCACTTAGATCAGGATTTGTTTTGGAAAGTGGAAAATGGGAAGAAGAAACAGGAAAGTCGGGGGCTTCCTAATCCATCCTAACCACCACCTTCCCCATTTCTTTCCTCCTGTCTGTAAAGCCAATTTGGAGACTTGTGTCAGGGGATACCTGCCTCTCCTTTTTCTAAAGAACCAAGGCTAAAATAACATGTCTTACCAGGGGAAGCAGCCAGAGGCCTTGAAGATTTAAAGGGGGGGCAGGGGCGGGGCAGGGGAAAAGGCAAAGCTAATGGCAACTCCAAAGGAGGGCAGAGAGTGGACTTTGCGGGGAGAACCCAGGCGGACACTCGACCACACAGCCTAGGTGCTGCTGGACGTGAACACTCCAACCTCGTGGGGAAAAAAATGCACATTCTGAAGACTTACAAAAGCAGGAAGCATGTCATGGTATGTAGGTGGGTGGTATACATTTCCCATGAACTGTGAAGCCCCTTTTCGGACAGGCTGAGCCGGGCGGAGAGAGGGGTCCTTAGAATCGCTGGTACATGCCGAGGAGGGGGCTCCATCTCCCGTATTCGGGTTCCTGCTGCCCAGCTCAGTTGGGGAGGCGCTCAGAGACGTGGCAGAAATTATGTTTCGCCCACCGCCCTCCCTCCAGCTCGTCACATCTGGAAATTGAAAGGGGGCAAAGGGGGGGAGGAAAGAGGAGGGGGAAGGAGGGATTGCATGAGGTTCTGAAGGTCGAGAGACCCCCTCAATCACCAAAAAAAAAAAGACAAAAAACAAAAACAAAAGACCCCAAAAGTGAAGAATTATCTGTCGGAAAAGGTTGGGGCAGACACCTGGCCAGTGAGGATGAACTCACAGAGGGACATCGGACCGTGAGAAGAACATAAAATAAGATCTACTCAGAGAGAAGGCAGGTGTAGACAAGACGTGGCTTCATCTATTAATAGCAATCACATACACCCACACATCATGAGGCTAGAGAAATTAGCACAGCCCTGATGAAAACAGCCTTTGGTCATTCCTTCAGCAAATACTGACCAGCCCTGTCAGAGCCAGCACGCTACTGCTCGGCACTGGACTTTGTATTAAAACTAGAGGGAGTTCCTGACACAATGTTTTCTAACTTTTTTTAGCAGTGGCACCTTTTAACAAAGATCCCTCGATCCCTCAATTCGTCACTTTCCTTCCAGCGGGGACTGGGGCGCTCCTGCGGCTCCCGGGCTGAAACCTGCAGACCAGTCTTTTAATAAAAGTCCCACCTTACATTGCCAGATGTAGTTAAGAAGTAGTGGAAACTATTAGAGGCCAAAAAACATCAGTTGAATCAAAAGACCTCTCTTTTCTTTTTTTTTTTAAGTTTTCAAGCAAAGTTTATTTAGAAAGTAAATTAGAAAGATAGAAGAGAGAGAGAGAGAGAGAGAGAAGATTCACCTCTCCAAGATAGGGGAGGGGCAAAGCCAAGAAACACTGAGTCCATAGCTCAAAGAGCCAAATGGACATATATCACAGTTTAACAAAGCAATAGTCAAGACTTCTCTTTTCAGTCAACTTTTGGCTGAAGCACAAAAGATCCCTAAGTTATGTCACCCTTAAAATAAAGAGTGGCTGGGTATGGTGGCTCACGCCTGTAATCCCAGCACTTTGGGAAGTCCAGGCTTGAGGACTGCTTGAGCCCAGGAGATCAAGACCAGCCTGGGCAACATAGCAAGACTTCATATCCGTAAAAAAATCAAAAATTTAGCTTGGCATGGCAGCACGTGCCTACAGTCCCAGCTACTCAGGAGGCTGAGGTAGGAGGATTGCCTAAGCCCAGGAAGTCGCAGCTGTTATGAACCAGGATCACACCACTGCACTCCAACCTGGGAAACAGAGACTCAAACTCAAAAAACAGAAAGGAAAAGAAAAACCAGGATGAGTCAGCTCCAGGTCACCAACCCTTTGCAGTGTGACTTTGGGCAAGCTGAGGTCACCCCTCTGGCCATCTGCAACCTCATCTTCTCCAATGAGATAGAACTGATCCTAGAAGCTGCTTCTAGTTCTAAATTTTTATAGTCCTACAAAGCAGCTCATCTTAATTAATCCCAGGAAGACACAATTCTTGTCCTGAAGAATTTGACTATATACTTGGAGCCAACAAAATAGCCCTGTGTAGACCCTGGAAAGGCAGTGAGCTTTAAAGTCAAGTCACATGGCGATCACTGAATTTCTAAGGCATCAGTTCCATAGCGAACAGTGAAGGCTTTGGGAGAAATCAAGACAAGCAAACAAAAGCCACTCACATGTCAAGACCTGATCAAGTCCCCTGAAGAACACAAGCCACTTCAGGACCCCTGATTCAGATACCAAACCTCAAACCACCCTAGGCCTCTAAGAAAAAAGTATTTCCAGCAAGTAGTGCTACACAAGGCTGCCAGCTCCTTGGCCAGACTCCAGCTGAGGAGACAGTGGAGAGAGTACTAGGCTGATCGTATTACAATCCCCAGAGAAATGTGTTAAAAATATAGATTCTGATCTGGCTGGGAGGAGGGGGAAGGTGGGAAATTATATGTATTCACAAACGCCTCAAGTGATTCTGACAGGTTTCAGCCAGGTGTGGGAACCACTGGTTTAGAAAACAAGCTCCTGAATCAGGGGTTCAAGTTCATGGGTCTTTCATCCGTCTGTGCTAGGACCACCCAGCATAGCAAAACTAACAGTGGGATGACAGATGGGAAAGGGACAGGCCTGACCCAGCCCAAGGGACAAGGAGGCAGAATGGGACCCAGAACGGGTCTAGGCAGTAAGTCCAACAGATGCACAGATCAGTTAGGGGGCCGATGGCCACATTTTCCAGCTTGGCAGCCGGAGACCCCCGCAGCATCTGCGCCCTTCTAGGGGGCACAGAGGCAGGAAGGGTGAGTGCACTGCTCCAGCGGGACCCAGGCAGAGGCTCACTTACTCTGAGGGCGGAGGCTTGGTCCTGGCCCATACGACAGATCTAAGACGCCCTTTTCTTTGCCAGCCTTGTCCTGCCCTCCAGCTGCTCTCAGCGTCGGAAATTCCTCGGGAGAGAAGGATAACAGTCGGCTTGAGCCCCTTAAACCTGTCGAGAAAACGGAGAGCAGTGATGCAAGTGAGACAGGTCATCCGTCTCTGCCTTCCCAGCTCCACACACTTAAGGCTGCGCTGCCCTCGACTGGACGCTTGACGAGGGGGCTGTGCCGCAGAGCACGCTGCACCAACAGATGGCACCAGGGGGCGAGGGTGGTGAGAGAGGCTGCTGCAGACTGCACCTCCCCCCTCCGCAGCAAGCACGCAGGGGCTGGCATGTGCTTACGAAGAGCAGGAGGTAGGATGTCGCAGCTCCTTCGTCCCACATCCTGCCCCAGTCCCAGAAAGAGTCAAGAAGGTCCTTCTGACTTCCCTGGGCAGCAGATGAGCGTGGGCAGCCTTCAGCAAGCCCAGGTAAGATAACTGCTTTCACGTGGAGGTGATGCCCACAGGAGGTGGGTGCTCCCCCACCCCGCCTCAAGCCTCCCCGAAGGCCCCGCCCTAGATGCACCTCCTCAGTTTTTTTTTTTTTTTGAGTTGGAGTCTCACTCTGTCGCCCAGACCGGAGTGCAGTGGCCGCTCCCGGCCACCACAGCCTCGACCTGCTGGGCTCCGGCGATCCTTCCGCCTCAGCCTTCCGAGTAGCCGGAATTACAGGCGCGCGCTACCACGCCCGGCTGAGTTTTTGATTTATTGTAAAGATGAGGTCTCGCTGCCCAGGCGGGTCTCGAACCCACGGCCTCAGGCAATCCACTCACCTCAGCCTCCCAAAGTGCGGGATTACAGGCTGAGCCACTGGGCCGGCTACACCTCCTCACTGACCTGTCTTTCCTCACCCACGTCAGTCTGGCACTTCCTCTGCAGTTCCTCAAGCCCTACAATGCCTGGGAACAATTTCTTTGTTCTTTTACTCATTCACTCAACATCACCAACCTCTTCAGAGAAGAAGCCTTCCCGTAACCTTGCTCCTATCACGTAAAGCATTTGGCACAGAGATTCTGCAATCACTGTTTAGATGAGTAGATTTAAGGTGTTTTGGTTTTGAGTCAGGGCCTCATTCTGCTGCTGAGGCTGGAGTGCAGTGGCACAACAACGACTCACCGCAGCCTCAACCTTCCGGATTCAGGTGATCCTTCTGCCTCGGCCTCCTGAATATCTGGAACTATAGGTGTGCTCCACCAAGTCGGTTTTTTATTTTTTATTTTTGGAGAGAAGAGGTCTTGCTGTGCTGCCCAGTCTGGTCTCGAGCTCCTGGGCTCAAGCAATTATCCCACTTCAGCCTCTCAAAGTGCTGGGATTACAGGCCTATGTCACTGCGCCTGGCCTGGATGAATTGTTTTAAAATACTGCGATTTAAGAGTTTCTGGATAGCCAAACACATGGCAGTTCCTGGAGGGTGGTGGGCCCAGGGAGGACATGAGGCCATGCAGCCTTCTCCTCACCCCTCACCTTATACACCTCTCCATCTGTATCCCCCTGTAATATCCTTTATGATAAGGTGGTAAACATCAATGGCCAAGACCAAGGTAATGCTCACGCAGTGATCAGAGATAATTCATTATTCAGGAAAACAGCACGCAGCTTGTGTCATGACCTACCCCATGCTGTCAGCAATCTGGCTCACCTACAATAACAAAGTTCTCCCCCACACACGACTTGCTGGGATCGAGCCTTCTCAGCACCAAGAATGAAGAGGGTCCCTCATTCCAACCTGAGCAGGGAACGATCAACACTGCTTCTATGGGAAGTCTTTGTGACCAGAAAGGGAAATGACAACCTCAAGGTCACATCTGACAGTTGACTTTAAAAGTCAACAGGCATTGCCGGGGGGTGGTGACTCAAGCCTGTAATCCCAGCACTTTGGGAGGCCAAGGTGAGGGAACTGCCTGAGCCCACAGACTCAAGAACAGCCAGGGTAACTTGACGAGACCTCATCTCTACAATAATTTTTTTTAAAAATTAGCCGGGCGTGGTTACGTGCGCCTGTAGTTCCAGTTACTTGGAAGGCTGAGGTGGAAGGATCACCTGAGCCCAGCAGGTCGACCCTGGGGTGTCCGTGGGCGTGCCACTGCACTCCAGCCTGGGCAATGGAGTGAGACTCCAATTCAAAAAAAAAAAAAAGTAAACAGGTTCCTGGCCAGGTGTGGAGGATCATATCTGTAATCCCAGCACTTTGGGAGGCAGAGGCAGTAGAGTTACTTGAGCCCAGGAGTTTGAGACCAGCCTGAGCAACACAGCGAGACCTCATCTCTACAAAAAATAAAGAAATGAACTGGGCATGGTGGCTCAAGACTGTAGTCCCAGCTACCTAGGAGGCTGAGGCAGATGGATCGTCTGAGTCCAGAGGTCAGGGCAGAAGTGACCCATGATCATGCCACTGCACTCCAGCTTGGGCAACAAAGTGAGATCCCAACTCAAAAAAAGAAAACACAACACAAAAAAGCAAATTAACCTGCTTTGGGATGGCCTTGTATTCATGGTGACATCCTTTCCCCAAGTAAAGAAGCTTACCATAAGTTCCTCAAATTGTTGACATGCTGATCAACATACAAGCAACTGACACTAAAAAGGACGCTGATTTATTTCTGAATCACAAAGTTTTACTGATTATCTTGCACATAGACATTTCAGCCTGGATGTTGCCATCTGTAGCCAACAATTGTGATCTCTGCATTGTACCCTCCAACGAAAAGGACAACTCTGGCATAGTCACCCTCCCTTCTCCTAAACTTCCCTATAAAAGTCTTCCAACTTGTAACAAATTCCAAAACATTCCCAACTTTGTTGGTGTGTCTTCCCAGGTAGATCCTCATATATGGCTTCCAACAAACCTTTATCAAAACAATTTTTCTACCCCGGCATGGCAGCTCACACCTGTAATCCCAATGCTTTGGGAGTCAGAGGCAGGAGGATCGCTTGAGACCAGCCTGGGCAACACAGTGAAATCCTGTCCCTACTAAAACTTTAAAAAATTAGCTGGATATGGTGGCACATGCTTGCAGTCCCAGCTACTCAGGAGGCTGAGGCAGGAGGATCACTTGAGCCCAGGAGCTAGAGGCAGCAGTAAGCCATGACTGTGTCATTGTATTCCAACCTAGGCAACAGAGAAAAACTTGCCACCAAAAAAAAAAATTTTTTTTAAATACTGCATTTTAAGGTCCAGAGGGGGGTACTTTTATCTGGGACATTTAACACATGTCCGGCATTATAAAAATCCAGTTAATAACAGTACTATCACACACCACTAAGGACCACCGTGGCATGCCTTGCCCCAGTACAGCTAGATCCAAATTTCCCCTAGGTATTAATCTTAGCACCACTCATTCATGGACCTGTTACCTAAGGCAGCTGGGATTACTGCAGATGCACAAGGCAGCAATTCGTTTGTTATCCCAGTCAGTAAAAAAGTCTAGAGTCAAATAACTCTGTCAGGGTGAGCACTGGACACTTTATTCACCAACGATTAGCCAGAGAGACAGTCCCCAAGTGTCACCAATGAGTTCCACCGCTCTGTGAAGGGGGCTGTGACTCAGAGTTGCTTCATTATGGTAAAAGTTCAATAACAAGAATTAACTATGAAGAGTCACATTTTAAAATGTGGTAGATTATTTGAAATTGGGGGAAAAAAACAGCATATGTCCAATATTACTGTTCTCTCCCTTCTTCTGCCTCAATAATCATGAAGATATTACTGTAAGCATGAATTAAACTTACCCTCTCACAGATAAAAAGGATAAAGGGTAGAACTCAAAATCTCAAGCCAAAATACCAAGATTCCTAAGGTTCCAAAGCTTTATAATGTCCACCCACCATCTGCACCCAGCCATGAGAAATGGAGGCAGAAGAGTCAAGGGACTCCTTCTAAGGTCACAGTTGAGCCACTGGTGGGACATAGAAGCAGGCCATCAGAGCCTGGCAGCCATAAGCCTCTGGCCTTCGCCCAAACCACACAATCAGGTCACCTGGGTCTGTTTCAGGCCAACTGATTCAGGTAAAAGACCATCTTCTACATGGGGAGAGTCTGTCAATTCAGGAAAAGTTCTTTTGAATTCTAAAGAGACATAAAAACATTTTGCCTGTAATCGCAGTGCTTTGGGAGGCCAAGGTAAGACTGTATGAGGCCAGGAGTTTGAGACCAGCCTGGGAAACATGGAGAGACTTAGTCTCTACAATAAATCAAAAAATTTAGCCAGGCTTACACCTGTAGTCCCAGCTACTTGGAAGACTGAGGCAGAAGGGTCACCTGAGCCCAGCAGTTTGAGGCTGTGGTAAGCTGCAATTGTGCCACTGCACTCTACCCTGGGTGACAGAATAAGACTCCAACTCAAAAATGAAAAAAAGAACGGCAGGGCAGAGGCCCAGGCCTCTGCACCCCTCTAGAGGAATGTCTCAGCAAAACCCTCCATGACCTCAAAGAGCTGAAGTCCCTTGTACAATCAGGGCCTTACCCACTGTGGCAAAGGCCAGGGCTCCATGGAACATTAACTGTGGAAGAGATTTCACAAATCTTCTGGGTGCCTAGACTCAACCAGAACAATCTGGAAAAGGTACTCATCTCCCTCTCACCCCACCACCCCCACACACTTACCACCTTCGTGTCCTACTGGCTTTCCATTCAGCTGTGCCCATGACTTTGGTCCACCTGGCACTGAATTTGTATTCTGAAAGAAGGAAGAATGTCAGAAGAGCCAGTTCAATAACGGAGCACACTTGAGTTAAGGGGCTAAGAGGCCGGCACCTCAGACACCTACATGGTTACGTCAACCACCGCTTTCTGGGAGTATCATCCCCCGGAGCTTTCTGTGCAGCATCCACTCTCTGCTGCAGTTCCAGGGATCAGAACAGCCGAGCCCAGGCTACAGATGAGGAATGGGATGGGTGAGGTGACTGGCTCAAAGCCAGCAAATAGACCCAAGGCCGCCTCCACACAGTGCTCTGGAACATTCTGTAAGGTGCCTCCTGTGCCCACACGGAACGACTGGGTTCTGCTTCAGAGACAAAGACCCAACCCCATTTCCAGCAGGTGTCTCTAAAGTCGTGTGACACTGCTCACAGAGGGACACAAACATGGGAAGGTCAATCAATGTGCCAGACCGCTCACTGAATGGGCCAGCTGCAGCACTTCCAGAATTATTGTTGTTCTACCCAATACAACACCCCAGTGAGAGGCCCTCCTCTTCCACTCATCTGGACCCACCTATCTCGGCCTCAACCCTACCAGGTCAGCACTATGTGAGCAAATCCTCACCACACCCCAGAGAGGGCCTAGTCACATCCCAACTGAGGCTCAGAAAGCAGTGACTGACTTAGACACAGAATGGTGGAACCAGCATCTGCCTCCAGCACCCCTGTGTCCAAACCCCTTCGAGACCCAACCTCTGAGCTCGTCTTTCTTTTCCAACAACTTTCAACTAACAGTCTTCCTCTTTCAATGGAAGGGAGGGATACAAACCACAAAGCTGATGCAGGACTCACAGGAGAAGATGCCAGATTAAATAGCTGGCCCCTCCATCCAGCCCCTCCTTCTCAGACCGCCTCTACCAACCCTCCCAAACACACGGCAGACAACTGTCTCTCTTGTCCTCCATGCAGACCTGACCAGGTGTAGCAACCCATTTACTTGCCAGAGTTGCCCTGATGCTTTTCAGAGGTGACCTGTGATGCCTACAAGTCTCTCCACCACAGACCACGGGAAGGAGGTGTCAGCGGCACAACAGGGAACACTGAGCTTTTGAAAATACCCATCCCCTGCCAGTTAAGGTAGCTCATGCTTAAATCCCAGTACTTTGAGAGGCTGAGGAGGAAGAACTGCTTGAGCTCAGGAGTTTGAGATCAGTCTGAGCAACACAGCAAGACCTCGTCTTGACAAACAAACAAAAATTTAAAAAATGATAGCCACGTGGTGAGTGTGTGCCTGTAGTCCCAGCTATACGGGAGACTGAAGCAGAAGGATCACCTGAACCCAGCAGGTCAAGACTGCGGTGAGCCAGGATCGCCAATCCAGCCTGGGCGATAGAGTGAGACCCTGATTCAAAAACCAAAGGCCCACAGGTCCAAGAAGGGGATTCTAAGCCTGCAGGCAAATTTCATCCCAAGAACAGAGCTGCCTCCAAGGAGATGCTCTAAAAACAGCAAAACACTAGGTGTCTCTCCTTAGCCCGGCATGTGGAGAAAACCAGGCAGCAGCTGAGAGAAGCTGAGCACAGGGTGAAGTGACCTGGCGCTGGTGGTGCTGAGCAGGTTCCTCCTCCCTGATACAGCACTGTCCCTTCAGCAGTTTACTTAAACAGAGGCCCAGGCCCTCATCTGAAGTCTCCAGTGGTAGGCTCTGGGCACATATATATAGTTTAATCTTTTTTTTTTTTTGAGTTGGGTCTCACTCTATCATCCAGGCTGGAATGCAGTGGCACGATTATGGCTCACCACAGCCGAGATCTTCTGCCTTCAGGTGCGCCTCCCGTCTCAGCCTCCCAAGTAGCTGGGACTACAGATGTGTGCCATCAGGCCCAGATACTTTTTTTTTTTAAATAGAGACGGGGTCTATGTTGCCTAAGCTGGTCTCAAACTCCTAGGCTCAAGTGATCCTCCCACATCAGCCTCCCAAAGTGCTAGATTACGCGTGCTTGTGTGTGTCACAGGCTTCAGAGGCGACTCTGGTGTGCAGCCAGGCTGAAAAGTCACAGCTCCATCATCACACTCAGTCTCAAATTCTGGGAAACAGAGGGAACTCAACTCTGTATACTCTGACTAGTCTGCAGATCCCAGCGAATTCAGGCCAATGAACATGAGCCTCTTTTCTCGATTGTCTTTCATTTCAAAAGCCCAGTTCAGTGTTGGGTGGGAAGAAGGTATCCTGACAAAGCCACAGACATCCCTACATATGGTTACAGCAGAGAGAGGATGACATTTCAAACCTTATGTTGCCCAGGTAGCAAAACAAACCAAAATACAGTAGAGTTCAGGCTTCTGTCAGGAGAGCGGGTAAGTGCGAGAGATCTATGTCAACATTCTTTTTGTCTTCTAAAAAATTCATAGACATCTCATCTAGACTTCTAACTACCAGCTAAGTATATCCTTCTGCTGATCTCCATAAACCTGAAGCCAGACTCTGATGGACTGAGTCCATTATGAGCTCTTGCTTGGTTAAATCAAGAATTTCTGCTTAGAAAAACATTTTAAACCTATCAAAAACCAGGGAGTGTAGTTTGGTATTTCCCAAAGTATGTTCCAAGAGCCACTAGTCCTCAGACATTCAGTTAAGAAAGGTTTCCAGTTGGGCACTGTGGCTCAAGTGTGTAACCCTAGCATTCTGGGAGACCGAGGCAAGAGATTTGCCTGAGCTCAGGAGTTCGAGACCAGCCTAGGCAACTAGACGAGCCTTGTCACTACAATAAATCAAAAAATTAGCCGGACATGGTAGCACACGCCGATAATAGTTCCAGCTACTTGGAAGGCTGAGGCGGAAGGATCGCCTGAGCCCAGCAGATTGAGGTTGTGGTGGCTATGAGAGAGCCACTGCACTCCAGCCTGGGTCAGAGTGAGACTCTGATTAAAAAAAAAAGAAAAAGAAAAGAGAAGAAAGGTTTCCTAGGATAAATAAATTTGGGGAATGCTCTCACTGCATCCTCCTCTTCTCAGAGATTCAGAGTACACATGAGCCCATTAAAGGCACTGAGAAGGACTGCAGTTCGAGGGCACACTTAATTTTATTTTTTCAATTTACCTAGTTTCCATGGAGCACACCTGAGGAACCCTAAGCTATTCTGTAGTCCAACCTGAGTGACCTCACCTCCAGGTAAACAAACAAAAACAAAAGCATATGTCTGTGTCCTATTGTGCCCTGGGAGTCTTTTTCTAAAAGTTGCAGACTGCATTTCCTCACTAGTGACCACAAACGTTTCCCACACTCGTCTTCTAGTTACTCCTTCAGTTTGCTTCTGGAGCTAATAGGCCCTGCAACACCACACTCCTCGGCAGCAGCGCCTCCTACCAGTGCCCAGCAGCAGGAATGCTTGTGGGAGACGATGCCCAGGAGGTGGTCCGGGCGGGGTCCTAGCACCTACCTCCTGAATGATTGACTGTGTCGGTTTCTGCAAATTGGAGACAGACTTCTGCAAACCCGGCTGCGGCAGCGACTCCAGCGGCTGAGAGGCTGTCGCACTGGAACTAGACAAAGAAAGGACAAACAGTGGAGATCAGACACAGCACAGGGCCTGCTAACCAGGTCTCTGTTATTTCCAAGAGTCACAGTTGTTCAGCTGCTTCCAGGGAGCGGAACTCCTCTGGGTGATAAAAATACTTTTCCCAGTAGGCTCTTAATGCTGGCAAAAACTAATGAGAAAACAAATCATGCTTGAGGTCTAAGACTGGCATTTTATTTTTATTTATTTATTTGAGTCAGAGCCTCACTCTGTCGCCCAGCCTGGAGTGCAGTGGCACGCTCACGGCCACTGCAGCCTCAACGTGCTAGGCTCAGGTGATCCTTCCGCCCAGGAAGACTGACATTTTAAATTAGGATGGGAACGGTCAGGCATGGTAGCTCACACCTGTAATTCCAGCACTTTGGGAGGCTGAGGTGGGAGGATTGCTTGAGCCCAGGAGTTCAAGACCAGCCTGGGCAACACAGTGAAACCTCATCTTTATTAAAAAAAAAAAAAAAAAGCCGGGCTCGGTGGCTCAGCCTGAGGGTTCGAGACCCACCTGGGCAACTTGGTGAGACCCCATCTCTATAATAAATTCAAAAATCAGGCAGGCATGGTAGCGGGTGCCTGTAATTCCGGATACTAGGAAGGCTGAGGCGGAAGGATCACCAGAGCCCAGTGGGTCGAGGCTGCAGTGGCCGGGAGCGGCCACTGCATTCCAGTCTGGGCAACAGAGTGAGGTTCCAACTCAAAAAAAAAAAAAAATCAAAAAAATTAGCTGAGCACACCTGTAGTCCTAGCTACTTAGGAGGCTAAGGAGGCAGGATAGCCTGAGCCCAGAGGGTCAAAGTTGCAGTGAGCTGTGAGTGTGCCACTGCACGCTCCAGCCTGGGTGACCGAGTGAGACTTCAACTCAAAAAAGAAAAAAGGACAGGACAGTCCTCAGTCTTCTTGAGAGTCTCCTGACTGCAAAACTGAAAGCTCACTGCAAACCATGGACGTGATGGAGGATTTGCCAATAGGAAAACTGAGTCACTGGAGGGAAGGGGCCCAAGCCCCTTACTCCTCATCAAGAGCCCACACCTACTGCTTTGAAACACGAGCAGATTTTTCACCTTCTCTTGGCTTATAAAAGAAATACATGCTCATAGTAAAAATAAATGTATAAATATATATAACACAGAATTTGTCACGATCTCATCCTCCCGAGAGAAACGCCAAGCAGACTTTCTATACATATGTTAATATAGTATTTTTTTTAACACAAGTAGGATAACACCATACACCATACATACAATTCCATAACTTTTTTTCTGCTTAATGTCTCTGAACATCATATGGATATACCTCTTTCTTTTAAAGGCCACACAGTACCAATGGACAGCCCACAATTTAACCAATCTCCAATTTGAGAGTCTTTTTTTCCTATTACAAATAAAACTGCAGTCAGATGCGGTGGCTCACACCTGTAATCCCAGCACTTTGGGAGGTGGTGGCAAGAAGACTGCCTGATCCCAGGGGTTTGAGACCAGCCTGGGCAACTTGGCGAGACTTCGTCTCTATAATTAGAAAAATAATCAAAGAATTAGCCAGGCATGGCAGTGGGCACCTGTAGTTCCAACTACTTGAAAGGATAACTGAGCTGAGGAGGCTGAAGCTGCGATAGCCATGATATTGTCACTGCACTCCATCCTGGGTTAGAGTAAGAATGACTCAAAAACAACAACAACGAAACTGCAATGAGAGTTTTTTATACATATCTTTCTAACTTTTTTCTGTAATTCAGTAGCTTAAGCTCTTAGACATGAAAATGCTGAATCAATAGATGCTTTGAAGTTTAAAAGATATTGTGAAACTGCGCTCCGAAAAGTTGTGTTGGTCAGTTCACACTCCACAACCTTTCGAGGGAGCAACAAGAAAAGATTCTGAATGAAGCCTTCTGCTCCAACTCAGCAGCTTTCTAGTCACTCTTTCTATTCAACTTTCCACTCGATGAGATTCAACAAGGGCAGCAATCCACTTGGCGGGAGGCCATCCAATGCCGCGGCTTATCCGTAAGCGGAAGCCAAATTTCATACACACACTCTCGTCCAAAGCTCACTTGACCCAAGCAACTCACCATTCAGGAGTATTACAAAACCAAGGCCATCAAACCTCTCTTACATCCCCTCTACCTAAAATAGAAGTTTCCGGGCAGTGGCACTGTTGTGTTCTCCAAACCTAAGCACTAAGTCTGGGTCCCCCACCCGGCGCCTCCCTGATATCCTGGCAGGAGAATGTGACCCATGGGTTGCAGAGACCCATGCCTGGGGACGGCCACCTGCTCCAATGTTCCCTCCTCACCTCCTCCCTTGCCCTCATTTAGAGCCAACTGATACACATTCTATGCCAATGCAGGAGGGACGGCAGCAGGGAGTGATACAGTGTCCTCTTGAGAACTTTTGGTGGCAGCGGCATTTCAGTGCTTCCTCTGAAATGTGTAGTACCTGTCTCAGGGTCAGGTGCGGTGGCTCATGCATGTAACCCCAGCACTTTGGGAGGCCCAGGCAGGAAGACTGTTTGAGTTCAGGAGTTTGAGACCAGCCTGAGCAATACAGCGAGACCCTGTCTCTACAAAAAATCAAAAAATCAGTAGGGTGTGGTGGCACACGCCTGTAGTCCCAGCTACTTAGGAGGCTAAGGCAAGAGGACTGCCTGAGGCCAGGAGGTCAAGGCTGTGGTGAGCTGTGATCATGCCACTGTACTCCAGTGTGAGTGACAGAGCGAGACCCCAACTCAAAAACAAAAACAAAACCCTGTTTTTGTAACAGAGCTTGTGGTGTGTGCTATTTGAAGGGAAGGACAGTGGTGGCTGACATCTGCCCACCAGGTTCTATGCTATGAGCTTGACCTGAGTTATCACCCTGATGCCTCATTGATTCCTTGCAGCCACCACCAGAGCCAGGTGCCATTCCTACTTTAAGGGAGGACACGGAGGCTCAAAGTCAAATAACTGTCTAGGTTCCATCAAGCTAATAAACGGTCTGGCTGGAAACCACACACAGGCGGTCTGACTGCAAAAGCCCCACTCTCCTGCCCACCAATATGACCTCTAAGCAAACTGTCACAAAATGCCACTCATGAGACCCTGTTTTGGTTGAACTATGTGCACACTCTCTACATAGTATCTACGGGAACTGTGGGGAACATTTTACAAACACTACTGTGGTCACTTCCAGCATAGGCCTGAAAGAAAAGGACACTGGCCAGCAGCCCGAGTCCCAGGCATCTCTGACTGTCTGGCTTTTTACATCAGCAGGCAGACTGCCAGAGAGGCAGGGGGAGGGGGCCCAAGAAACTTTTGTTTCCATTCTCCGCCAGGCAAGCCCGGCAGCAGGCTTCTACCTGCCAGCTTCAGCAAGGCCCTGTCTGCCCCAGACGAATTCTCCTCCCTGAAGACCCTTACCACTGGCTAAAACAGTCAAGGAGGAGACCAGGGCTCAGGCAGCTGAGGGCTCACCCAGGCAGTCCCCACACCCACTCCAAGCTGTTTCTCTTACAATGACATTGTGCCAAGTCCTACGTGCTTGCTTGTAGGAGGTGAGCCTCCAGGGAGGCTGAATAATGAGGATTCTGTGTTCTCACTAACAACCAGGGCTGCTGAGAGTAGCCTCAGAGGTTTCCTCTGTCTGGGAAGCTGCCAGGCCCCTGGTGAAGGAGGCTGCATTGCCCCCCACCCAGAGCTCAGCATACAGGACACCCACCACCAGGAACGAAGTCCTCCAGACCAGCTCTAGCTACAGTGGTTCTTCTAGGACCTGGCTCTGAGTCATTGCATAAGCTCTTCGGGGGTGAGGAGGCCTTTCCTAACGAGGCACAGGAGGACACTGGTCACGGAGGACAAGGCTGCCCACAGACACGCTGTTATGGTGGTTCCAAGAGCCAGAAAAAATGAAGGCAGGGAGCAAGAAACATACAAACCAACAGGAGTCAGAGAGAAAGAAGCTTCCAGCTAGACTCAGCAGCTCACGCCTGCAATCCCAGCATTTTGCAAGGCTAAGGCGGGAGGATTGCTTGAGCCCAGGAGTTTGAGATCAGCCTGGGCACTATAGCGAGACCTCATCTCCATAAAAAATATCAAAAAATTAGCTGGGCATGGTGGCGTGTGCCTGTAGTCCCAGCTACTCAGGAGGCTGAGGCAGAAAGATCATCTAAGCCTAGGAGATTGAGGCTGCAGTGAGCCACAGTGGTGCCACTGCACTTCAGCCTGGGAGACAGAGTAAGACTCTGAATCAAAAAAAAAAAGAAGCCGGACTTGGCTCAGCCTGTAATCCCAAGCTTTGGCAAGCTGAGGTGAGTGGATTGCCTGAGCCCATGGGTTTGAGACCCACCTGGGCAACTTGGCGAGACCTCATCTCTACAATAAAAATCAAAAAATTAGCCGAGCATGGTAGCGCGCGCCTGTAGTTCCAGCTACTAGGAAGGCTGAGGCGGAAGGATCGCCGGAGCCCAGCAGGTCGAGGCTGCGGTGGCCGGGAGCCGCCACTGCACTCCAGTCTGGGTGAGAGAGTGAGACTCCAACTCAAAAAAAAAGAAAGAAAAAAAAGAAAGCAAGAAGCTTCCTATGTGGTCATTCCAGTTCTCTTTCCTTGCCAAGGGAGGCAGGCTGGGCTCTTCCGCCTCACCACCAGCCCTCTCTGTGGCTTACCTCTTTGGGTCTTGCTGATCCTGCTTGTTTGCCCATCCCGTCCCGTCCTTGGGTACTATCACGATGTTGGGGTCGTTTCCTTTGTTCTCAGACTTCAAGCTTGGCAGGTTTGCGGGCGGTGGCATGCGCCGGGCCGCAGCAACTTTCCCAAGACTCTGCAAGCCATGTCTAGGAAGAACTGCAGGGAGAGAGGCACCGGACAGACACCACACGGAAAAGTCACCAACAGAAAGAAGCCCAGTTCCTTCAGCACTGCTTTCATACTCCAAGTGACCATGACAAAACCAAGCAAACGAAACACAAGGGGCAGACCCGCCGTGGGGACAGACCGAAGTGGTGAGGAGAAATTTGACAGGCTTTTTTACAAGATTTTCACTGAGCACTGCAGAGGTCGAGGGGCTGCTGAAACCGCACAGGACGCCTGTTTGACCCATGGGCAGGAGAAGCCTCAGGGGTTTATGATTCAGGTGAGGGGCCAGGCCCAGAAGCCTAGATCCCACGTGGGAACAGAGCTCTGGCCTCATCCCAGCAGGATGAAAGTGACAGTCTCTACCCAGATCCAAGCCAAAGGCTGACCAGGGCCCACGCACATGTGTGCAGTCCTCATGGGGTATGGACAGGATCAGCAGGCACTTGTCCCACCAAGTTCCAGAATATCAGAACCACCAAACCTAAACACTAATGCAAATTAAGTTCCATTCTACCCATCGGAATAAAAATATTCACAGCTTTGGCCAGGAGTGGTGGCTCACATCTGTAATCTCAGCACTTTGAAAGGCAGGGGCAGGAGGATGGCTTGAGCCCAGGAGCTTAAGACCAGCCTGGGAAACAAAGCGAGACCTCATCTCTACAAAAAAAAAAACAAAAAAACTAGGCAGGGCACAGTGGCTCAGCCTGTCATCCCAGCACTTTGGGAGGCTGAGGCAAGAAGACTGCCTGAGCCCAGGGATTCAAGACCAGCCTGGGCAACTTGGTGAGACCTCATCTCCACAATAAATCACAAAAACTAGCCGGGCGTGGTGGCATGTATCTATAGTTCCAGCTACCTGGAAGGTTGAGGTGGAAGGATTGCCCAAGCCCAGCAGGTCGAGGCTGCGGTGGCTGTGAGTGTGCCACTGCACTCCTCCAGCCTGGGCGACAAGAGTGAGACTCCAACTCAAGAAAAAAAAAAATTAGCTTAGTCTGGTAATGCATGTCTGTAGTTCCAGCTACCTGGAAGACTAAAGTGGGAGGATCGCCTGAGCCCAGAAGGCTGAGGCTGCAGCAAGCAGTCCTGCACCACTGCACCCTAGCCCAGGCAACAGAGATTCCAAATCAAAAACATATATACTCACAGCTTCAATAAGGTAATCGATGGAGAAATAATTACACTACAGGAGAATCAGGATATTCAAGGTTCTGTGATCAGACCTAAAGTAGGAAGCAGAGGGCGATTCTGCTTCCCCAGAACCACTAGTGACCACAACATGCCTGAACACCTGCTCTGCATGGACCGCATCTGCCTGACCAGGTGAGGGACTCCAGGTTTGGGCACCTTCTCACTATGGAAACATCCAAAGTGCCAGCACTCAGCCCGGGCCTTACCTGAGGATCGAATCGCGTCTACTGATTTTCCTTTATACTTATCAAACAGGCTGAGAGTCGAATACTTGCTCTTCCCATCCTTGCTCTTGGTTATTTGCCCCAAACGATCGGACATTGCGATGAAATGTCATCTAGTAAGGAAATTTTTCTCGGCACCGCTCTCGATCTGCCTTTGAAAGAGAGAGAAAAAAGAGTGTCAATCCACCACCCAGTAGATTGAAATCCTCAGGGACCATGGAGTTCCTTGACGATCTGAAAAAAGCTTTGGATTCTGTCCCTAGAAAAATGCTGTGGCCACCCCCAGGCCGTTGGCACACATGCAATGGGCATTTTGTCGACGCCTCATGGGCTACCCCTCCCCCCACCTGTTAATTCCTCACTCTATCTGAATTGGCTGGAGTCCACTGCACGCCAGCTACACTGAAACATCGACTCTAAGACAGAGTCCTCTCTCCAAGCCAAGGACTGCTCTTCAAAAAGGAAAAACGAGGGGCCTTGCTTAGTAGCTGACGCCTGTAACCCCAGAATGCTTGAGCCAGGAGTTCAAGGCCAGCCTAGACAATGTAGAGAGGCCTCAACTCAAAAAAAGAAGATGGAGAAGTGCTCATTACTTGAAACATCCACAGAACATCAAAAATAAGGCGGGCAGACTAAGGAGGCGCACAGCCCTCTTATGCCAAGGCTGTTCATCTCAAGGACAAGCAAAGCCAAACCAAAGGAAAGCAACCCAAGTCAGTCATTCGGAAACACCGTTTTCAAAACACAAACCTGTACCCAGAGGGAACACACCTGCTTAGGTAACAGAGGTACACGGGGAAACCAGGGGAAACCAGAAAGCAAGTGCTCCCTCCTCAGGTGAGTATAGTATACCGAGAGAAAACACTGAAATGACCACCAGGAAACAAGCTGCCTTCCTCGGCCATGGTCTGATTTCTACAGACGTCTACGAGTCTATTAGCACTTTCCTCATCTGTTTGTTCACTTACTCATTCATTCGTTCACTCACTTATTCATTCATTTATTCAAGTACCAAGTGCTTGCCACGGGCTAGTGCATACTGTGCCAGTCACTGAGAACCAAGAGCCCCACTGCCATGTGTTCTACACCCAACCTTGGCTATAGGTTCTAAGCTTTAGTAAAAAAACAAACAAAAAAAGCTTACTTAAAAGACCAGCACTTCTCACTTGGAATATATGGACAAAAAAAGCTAGAGCATTCATTTGGGAATATTAATATGTCCTTAATTATTTAGGAGGAACACATCTGGTGTGTTAGGGAGGCATTTTGTACCAAAAGATGATTTTAAAGATGAAACTCGATATTATGACCCAAATAAAGCACAGGAAGCAAAGCCCAATTACAAACTGAGCCCCCAAAAAGTGAGATGGATCTGTAATCCCAGCACCTTGGGAGGCAGAGACAAGGACTGGTTAAGCCCAGGGGTTCGAGACCAGCCTGGGCAACTTTGTGAGACCTTGTCTCTACAAAAAAAAAAATTTTTTTTAATTAGCCAGGTATGATGGCACACACCTGTAGTTCCAGCTACTTGGAAGGCCAAGGCGGAAGGATCGTCTGAGCCCAGCAGGTCGAGGCTGCGGTGGCCATGAGCCTGCCATAGTACTCCAGCCTGTGCGACAGAGACTCCGATTCAAAAAAACAAACAAACCAATTGTGCAAGCACTTTTTTTTTTTTTGAGTTGGAGTATCATTCTGCTACCCAGGCTGCAGTGCAGTGGCACAATTACCACAGCCTTGATCTGTGGGGCTTAGGCAATCCTTCTGCTTCAGTCTTCCAAGTAGCTGGGACTATAGGCACACCATCACTTGGGCTCATTTTTTAAAATTTAATGTAGAGCCGGGCTCGGTGGCTCAGCCTATAATCCTGCGCCTTTGGCAGGCTGAGGTGAGTGATTGCCTGAGCCCACAGGTTCGAGACCCGCCTGGGCAACTTGGTGAGACCTCATCTCTACAGTAAATCAAAAATTAGCCGGGCGTGGTAGCGCGCGCCTGAAATTCCAGCTACTTGGAAGGCTGAGGCGGAAGGATCACCGGAGCCCAACAGGCAAGCCTGCGGTGGCCGGGAGCAGCCACTGCACTCCAGTCTGGGTGACAGAGTGAGACTCCAACTCAAAAAAAAAAAAAATTTAATGTAGAGTCGACAGCTGATCAAGCTGCCCAGGCTGGTCTCTGAACACCTAGACTCAGGCAATCTTGCCTCCACCCCCCATGTGCTGGGATTTCAGGAATGAGCTACATGCTCAGCCTAGGGTCATTTCTGATTGTCACAAGATGGGAGTGCAGTCCACATTCAGTGTGTGGCCAAGCCCAGAGCTGCTAAATGCACTGCAGCCTGAAGGAGAATCTAGCAGGATGAAGAAACTTACCAGCAAGAAATGCCCCCAAGTCCTCACTGCTCCCAAGTATACGTGTCAGGAGCAACTTGGACACCAGCATCCCTCCCAGGGCCCACCTCCCATACCAGAAGCAAAGTACAGCACTGACCAGGATGGGACGCAGCCAGAGACATCCATCCAAATTCTGGTTCTGGTTCCTCCTTGCCCTGGGGTCCACGACACATCCTTTTTATCTTTAAGCTTCCCTCCCTGAGGCTGGCTCCAGTGAGTTTCTGCCCTGTCCCCCAAAAGGCATAACTAAAAATAGCATCCTTCCCCATGCTGCCGGCAAGCCCCCTGAGGACAGAGACTGGATCTTGTCTGCTTCAGAATGACTAGCATTTCACAGGCTCTGAAATATAAATCCACTTGAAATTCTCCATTAAACTGGATGAGATCTGGGTGTAGACACTTCTGCCACATCAAACCAATCACTCAAACTAGAAAAGACCACTTGGGCAGAAACCTCCAATACCCTCACGCTCTTTCAACCAAAGCCCTTGAAACTGTCGCCACAGTGACAGCAACCCAAGGCTCTGCCATGCAGAGTCTCCTTCCAGCCTATACCAGGGGCCAGCAAACACTGGCCAGGGCCCCACCTGATGGCCTGTTTATACGGTCCTCAAGTGAAGAACCATATTTTTAAAAACTTTTGCTTTAAACAGCCAAGATGGACAGGCGCATGGCTCATGCCTGTAATCCTAGCACTTTGGGAGGCTGAGGCAGGAAGATGGCTTGAGCCTAGGGTTCGAGACCAGCCTAGGCAACATAGTGAGACCTCATTTCTCCAAAAATATTAACCAGTACTCAGGAAGGCTGAGGCAGGAGGATTGCCCGACCCTAGGAGGTTGAGGCTATAGTGAGCTGTGATTGTACCACTATACAACTCCAGCCTAGGCGACAGAGTGAGATCCCGACTCAAAAAAAAAAAAGGAAATTTTTTTAAAAAGCTTGATCAAGCCGGGTTCGGTGGCTCAGCCTGTAATCCTGCGCCTTTGGGAGGCTGAGGTGAATGGATTGCCTGAGCCCGTGGGTTCGAGACCCGCCTGGGCAACTTGGCGAGACCTCATCTCTACAATAAATCAAAAATTAGCCGGGCATGGTAGCGCACGCC